TGGGTCATGCTTCCTGCTGAAGGTGTGGGAAGCACATAAGATGATATCCTCTGTTTCCAGCCGTATTATATGTGCCCAAGTCCCGGGCCTTTGCCTTTTACAGTTTCACCAGGACCTGGTTAAAATGGTCGTCACTTTCTGCTGCTCCAGTGTTTTTCTAAACCAGTGACCTGTTCTGCATTTGGGATTTGGGATGGTTCCTGAAGGCTGCTATAGCCGATGTGGCTGCTGTCTTGCGAGGCTCTCATCATATCACACTCTCTTGTGAGCCCTGTATGCGGCTCCCCCTTTGCTTATTCTTTTGTTTGTGCCTGCAGTGTGTGGTCAGGAGCTGCTTCCAAGCCGCGCGTCCTTTGGTGCTCAGCCCCTGGTGGTACCTCCGTATGTGCACGGAGGTTTGTGGGTTTGGACCTGGCTCACCTCCCTCTGCTTTCCCGTTTTGCGAGACGACGGGGTCTCCCTTTCCGACTTGCCTCCTCCTTGGGGAGAATGCATTTGGAGCCAAGCTCCCCGTGCTTCCTCTTTCCTCTGCAGTTAGGCAGGTGAGCAAAGCGTTTCCATGTCTGCAGTGCCAGGCTGCATGTGGGGCTGGTCCCTGCTGCCTCGTGGTCATTGTGCAGCTTGGTGATCGCACTCCTGGGGCTCTCGCTGTGGCTTCTCTGCCATCTTGCTTCTGCTTTCCACATGGTCAGGCTTTCTGATGGTTCCCAAACGCCACCCGCAGCCCACAGCTGCGTCTGCTTCAGTCTAGCGACGGGCACCATGAGATCAAGATGGAGCTGCTGAGCTAGGGAAGGACATGCCCAGCCCAGGTGGAGGAGGGGCTGGTGCCTGTGGTGCCCCACTGCAAGACCACTTCTTTCTGGCCTGCCTGCCTTTGCCTGCAGAGTCCTGAGCTCCCGTCCTCCATAGCACTTCCAGTGCCGCGTCCTCTTCCCCTTTGAATCAGCTCTGTGGTTCTGTGTGAGGCAGAGCCGAGCTGCTCTGGGATCACCACCTGTCAGAGCCCAGCGTGCCTGTTGGAGCTCAGCCCTGTAGGCCCCTCTGGTCCGCCTCGGTCCTGAAGGGTCCTGGACATGCATTTCTGGTTGTGTCCACAGCGGTGAGTGACTTTGGTGTCTCTTGCTCTTGGTGACTGACCAGTCCTGGTGGCTTCCTTGTCTGGGACAGAGCAGGGCAGGCCCCTCGTGAGATGGGGCGTGTGATGCCCATGGCCCCTGCCTGGGAGTCGTTTTCAGAATTCAGAGGAAGCTGGAGCTGAGTGCTGCTTCTAGAAAGTGGGGCAGCACTGTGGAAGATGCCTGTGGCTGTGTGTTTCTGCCTCCTCCTCCCTGGAAGTTGCCTGATCCCAGCTTCCTGCATGTCTCCTCACTCTGATGGAAGAACCGACCTCAAGGGACAGGGCCTCTCTGACAACTGATTTAATGGCTGACACCCATCCTCCCAGCATGAGTGCCCTGTGAGTGGCAGGGGAGTCTCTCCTCATCTTTCTCGAAAGACTCCCTAGGGAGTAGCCTTAATCCCACTCTAAGGTCCCTCCCTCAGGCTTCACATTAATAGGTCCTTTTTTTTTTTTGAGTTGGAGTCTCACTCTGTTGCCCAGGCAGGAGTGCAGTGGCACACTCATGGTCGTCCTAGTGTCAACCTGCTGGGCACTGACGATTCTTCCACCTCAGCCTTCCAAGTAGCTGGAACTATAGGCGCAGGCTACCATGCCCGGCTAATTTTTTATTTATTGTAGAGACAAGATCTCGCCAAGTTGCCCGGGCTGGTCTCGAATCCGCTCGCCTCAGCCTCCCAAAGTGCTGGGATCATAGGCTGAGCTACCAAGCCCAGCCGACAGGTCCTTTTTAATGTATTGTTTTTTGGAGCCTTTTATTTTTATTTTATTTTATTTTATTTATTTATTTTATTTTTATTTTTATTTTTTTGAGTTGGAGTCTCACTCTGTCACCCAGACTGGAGTGCAGTGGCTGCTCCGGGCCACTGCAGCCTCGACCTGCTGGACTCCGGTGATCCTTCCGCCTCAGCCTTCCAAGTAGCTGGAACTACAGGCGCACGCTACCACGCCTGGCTGATTTTTTGATTTATTGTAGAGATGCGGTCTCGCCAGGTTGCCCAGGTGGGTCTCGAACCCGCAGGCTCAGGCAATCCACTCAGCTCAGCCTCCCAAAGGCGCGGGATTACAGGCTGAGCCACTGAGCCCGACTTATTTTTATTTAACACCAATTATTTCTTTCTCCCACTGCCTAGAAAATATAGACTATTAGAAAGAAGGAAGGAAAAAACACTCAGTAGTTCTCCTCTGAGAAAGTAACTCTGTTAGCACTTTGGCGCACTTTTTTCTAGTCTTATTCTAAGTATAGTCAAGTGTCACTTAATGCTGGGGTTGCGTTCTAAGAAGTACACCTTTAGGAGATCTCATTGTGGGAACATCCCAGAGTGTACATGTGTAATCCTGGATGGTGTAGCCTCCTGCATACCTGGGCTGTCTAGGGTGGCCTGTTTCTCCTGGGCCACACATCGGTACAGTGTGTTTCTGTGCTGAATACTGTAGGCAACTGTAGCACAATGGTCGGTTTTTGTGCATCTAAATGTCTAAACACAGAAAAGAGTTGCAAGCGTACAGTATTGTGATCTTACGGGACTGCCGCCATTATACATGCGATCGTCTCAACTGAAACGTCACACACCGTGTGCCTGGGTGTGCCTTTATTGGGTAGTTAAGAATGCATATGTTTGTTTCTGTTTTGAGCTTTTTTCCCTTGACCTGACAGCACAAACCTGTAGGAAACCTCACGCATGTCTAGAAGGGGGCTCAGAGTCGCCCAGCCTTGTGTTTTGGACACCCACGTGGTTGGGCTTTGCTGAAGGTCTTTGTACTTCTGACGCTCCGGCTGAGTTCTCGGTGAGTTAGGCCTTTGGCACATGTCGTAGACCGCGTTCCACACAGCTGTGCCAAGTTCCCGTCCATGCAGCCTGGGACCCTCCAAGTCTGAGCGATTTTCACTGAAGCGCCTTTTGCCACTTTTACACGTGATGGGTTGCGTCCCTTAACTTTCGGCATGTTTTGAGGTGATAGCGTGTGTACGTGTGTATATCTATGTGTGTTCTTCCGCTTGTTCTTCCTGTCGGCTGCCTTTTCAGCATGGCAAAATCTTTGGTTCTCATTGAGTTTTCCAAGGTGTGAGCTCTTCCTCCCATCACCAAGACAGAACAGTGTGGCTGGGGTCTTGAGTAAGTGTCCGTTCTTGCCGAGAAACTCCCAGCGTCAGATTCAGTTCTGCCCTTCCGATCTTAACCCTATTCTTCACTTTTAGCATTTTATCTTAGACATTAAGAAGAGGTAAGTTTTAAGCCTCTGGTTTTAGATACTTGGTTTAAAAGAACAGTAGTCCTTTCCTGGTCAAGAGCTGGCAGGAGCTTGGAGCCCTGGGTGGGCATCCATTCTTGCCTGCTCCTTTGTGGGAGTCCTGGGCAGCATGCTCCTCCAGCCGTGGTGCCTCCTGGACTCATGGTGTCCTTCTGCCGATGAGAGCTGGGATGGATGTTACTGCCTTTTCACCTGTTTTCTGCTGTTCACTGGCATGGGTGTTGCAAGGTCCTGTGGCCTGTGTGTCTCTGAAGCCCTCTGCTGACACATCCTGGGGGGGGGTCCTAGTCGGGCCCCTCACGGGCGGCTGTACGGCGAAGATGAGCTGAGTATTGTCCGAGAGTTCAAGCTGACACTGCTGCTGCCCTGGGGAGATGAGGGGAAGTTTCTGGTGGTAGTTTCTGGACGATAAATATGTGGGTGGAGAAAGTGCAGTTTCCCCCAAAGTAGCCATGTAACTGCATTCACACCTTGTCCCTTGGTCGTGGTTCTGGCTCACGAATGGGAAGGGAAAACAGGAGACTTCCTGTGAGGGACACAGGGAGCCAAGTCACTGTGCTTGGGTGTGGTTGGTAAGGAAGCGTGTGTGGGGGGTGCTGGGAAGGTGGGCCTGGCAAGGCCTGTGTCTGCACCTCCTGCTGGGCAGCTCTGCAGCCAGCCCCCAAGCCCCTGGCTAGTGACTCTGCAGCAGCCCTGAGGCCGCCTGCTGGAAGGACCCAGGGGCCGTCTTTGAGCTCTGCTCTACCACACGACCCTGACTTTGGGGTTGAAGCCTTGACTTTGGGCTTCTCTGCAGGCCAAGGCTGTGCTGGCTGCGGAGCAGGACCTGGCTTTTCCGAGCCCTGGCCGGCCCTCCTGCAGTCTTGTTCTGTAGCCTGGAGGGAAGGACGCTGGGGATGATGGGGTTGGTAGTGCAGCCTAGGTCAGATGTTCCGGTGCTCGGCACCTGCTGGTTATTGCAGTAATAATAATCATTATGATTGGCATTCATCAGTGCTGGTGGGGGCAGTGATAGTGTTTCTCATTAGCAAGTAGACGTGAGGACTAAGCCCTGCAGTCACTTCTGCTTTAGCACTCTCCTGGGACCTGTGAACGGTTTTTCTTTGTGTAGGAACCTGCACGATTTGGTTTTTTAAAATTTTCTTCTTGATAAGTCAGATGGTGGCTTTCTGAAGGTCTGTGTGTGTGTAATAATAATGCAGAGGAAATATGCAGCTTCCATTTGTAAATAACCAGAAAGGACTAATTGTCCTATCCTTGCTAGGAACCTGGTGATGTGAAACTTGGAGAGTGAGTGTGTGTTAATAGGCGAACGCTGCTGCTGAGGGTTCCCAGATGCCTGTCGTGGGCCTTGCTGCTCACGGCCCGCTGCTCCTCACTCGGAGGCTGCAGCAGGGGTTCCTGCGGTGACAGGCACACTTGTCTTGTCCTGGCATCACCCTGCTCAGGACGGCTGAGCGAAGGAAGCCTGGTGTGCAGTTGGCCATTCGTTCCCTGGTAGACTGAGCGGGGCCTCGCTGCCCTCCAGGTGCCACCGAACTCCGTGTGAAGTCTGGCAGGCTCGCTCGCCCGGCTGCTGTGGCCGGCAGGGATTGCCCTCCGTGAGGGTGAAGCGAGAGCTTGCGACATGGCAGCAGGCTCGGGCTACACCACTCAGGGAGTTAGCGTATTTCCTTAATGTGTTGATTTTTAGGCCTAACCAGGCTTGCCCTGGTCAACCTACGGATTTCCCTCAATCCCACACGCTGTTGGTAGCATGCTGCCGAGTGCCCGCTAACTGGCGGTGGAGAGATGGGCTGTGTTTGGTGCTACTGGAGCCAGCTGGGCAGAACAGCACCATAGTGTCCATCGGGTGAGGAGGAAATGCACGTTCAGGAGGGAGAGATTCTGGAAAGTTGTCTAGAGTTAGGATTTCTACAGATCCACTTCTGCCTTTCCTGGAGTTCTGATGGAATTGTAGTTCCATGGAAATGATCCTTAGCTGGTTGATTCCATGGTCAGTCGTTGATGCCTGCTGTGTACTTGGGAGGGGACATACATGCTATTGATCTTGGCTTCTTCAGCTTTGTGCCTGGAGCTCCAGGAAGGGGCAGCTGTCCGCAGATTAGCAATGAGCCAGGTACACGGCACCCACAGGGAACGGGAACACTCAGTGAAGGGGGCTGGAGGCCTGGAGGTCCAAACCAGGATGCGAGCAGGTTTTAAGAGGAGCGGTGTGCATTGTCTGAGAGGGCTGTGTGGTGCTGCTGGGGACACTGGTTTCCTCTCTGTTGTTGCTCCTTCAGCGTCTTTTGGTCTGGTGCTTCTTCCTAGGCCCTCCCTGGTGTGGCCTACCTCCTTTTGCGCCTGCCCAGGTTTTGCCTGTGACCCGGGGCTCCTGATGGCATCTGACCTTCCACCCCTGCATATGAGGATGGAGCCTGTTCCAAGCACATATAATTTTTTGGTGAACATTTAAAAATTGGAATATTCAAAATAAGCAAAAATTTTAAAACTTGTGCCGGATGTCTTCAGACTTTCAAACAAACAGTCGTATACTTATTTTTAAAACTTGAAGTGTAACATACCTACAGAAATGTGCTCAGATCATAGGTGTAGTTTAATGATCACAAAGTGAACCTGTAATCCCATGACTAGTTGCTTCTGGAAGCTTCCTCAGGAGCTGTCCCCACATGGCTGAGAGAAGTGAGCACAAGGGGTCAGTCTTTCCTGGGTTTTGAACTTTATATAAACAGAATTATACTCATACAAATGTATATATATGTATGTGTCTCATAGATATATTATTTTTTAATGAAAACGGGCTCATTCTATAAGCGCTATTTGTCACAAAGCGTTTTGTGACATGTGATGATCCCACATCCGTGTCTGTCACTACTGATCTTTCTTGCCTTCTTGTAAGTGACTGCATGGATTCCATGGTTTCAGATGAGGCCCACTGCATTTAACCATCTCACTGTTGTTGGGTATCTAGGCTATTTCCATTTTATCTGTGGTTATGAACAGTGCGTTTATATGCAGTAGCAATGTTTTTTGTGCTTTCTTAATTACTTCCTCAGGTTGTGTCCCTGGTTGCCCTGTGCCCCCACTGGGCCCCAGTACTGGCGTGCCCTCCCTGGGGGCTTCCCGGTGCCTTGCCACTGGGTCTCACTGGAGGCTTTGTCTGCTGAGATGGGACCTCCTGGCTGACTTGGCCCCTTCTCAGCCACTAACTAACTCTTTGGCCCTGGCCTTGGGCAAATACTAATAAGACTTTGTTTTATCTTCCGATAGCGCTGTGTTGTGCTGCGTTTTCTGAAGTTTCCTCCAAATAGAAAGAAGGTAAGATTGGTGGGTTTGCCACCCAGTTCTTACACCTATTATTCAAGAAAACTCTGATTTTTGTTTTTCTGATGCAGAAGTATTAATGGTAATTATAGAAATTTAAAAGCCTGGGCGTGGTGGCTCAGGCCTGTAATCTCAGCACTTTGGGAGACAGAGGCTAGAGGATTGCCTGAGCCCAGGGGTTCGTGACCAGCCTGGGCAACATGGTGAGACCTCATCTCTGCAAAAAAAAATTGCCGGGCGTGGTGGTGTGTGCCTGTAGTTCCAGCTACTGGGAAGGCTGAGGTGGAAGGATTGCTTGAGCCCAGCAGGATAAGGCTGTGGTGGCCCTGAGCGTGCCATCGCACTCCAGTCTGGGCAACAGACGAAAACTTCGACTTAAAAAAACGCAAAGAAATCTAAATGTGACACTCGCACTCGGAGCCGAAAGTGGTGTGCCTGTCATTCCTCACGTAAGACCTGTGGGCCCCAGCACTTGGGCCTCTGGTGTTGCCATGTGTCCCTGTGGGGCTGAGTCCACGGGCTGCTGAGCCAGGAGCTGCCCTGGCCTGGCATGCAGGTCCTGGTCAGAGGGTCCTGCTTTTGGCAGGGACCCCAGGACCAGATCTTAGCTTTGCCTCATTGGCACCAGCAGCCTCAGTTTCCCCATCTATGGAATTATATCTTTGAAAATAGAGGCTGTGGTACTGTGGTAAACAATCTATGTTAGCCGGTTCAGTGGCTCAGCCTGTAATCCCAGTGCTTTGGGAGGCTGAGGTGAGTGAATTGCCTGAGCCCACGGGTTCAAGACCCGCCTGGGCAACTTGGCGAGAGCTCATCTCTACAATAAATCAAAAACTAGCTGGGCGTGGTAGTGTGCGCGCGCCTGTAGTTCCAGCTACTTGGAAGGCTGAGGCGGAAGGATCGCCGGAGCCCAGCATGGTGATGCTGCAGTGGCCAGGAGCGGCCACTGCACTCCAGTCTGGGCGACAGAGTGAGAGTCCAACTCAAAAAAACCCAAAACAATCTATGTTAAAAGTTGGCCAGGGGTCAGGTTCTGTGGCTCAGCCTGTAATCCTAGCACTTCGGGATGCTGAGGTGAGTGGATTGCCTGAGCCCGCAGGTTTGAGAGCAGCCTGGGCAACTTGGTGAGACCTCCTCTCTACAATAAATAAAAAATTAGCCAGGCATGGAAGCACGTGCCTGTAGTTCCGGCTACTTGGAAGGCTGAGGCAGAAGAATCGCCGGAGCCAAGCAGGTTGACACTGGGGTGACCGTGAGCGTGCTACTGCACTCCAGCCTGGGCGATGGAGTGAGACTCCAACTCAAAAAAAAAGTTGGACAGGCATGGTGCCTCAAGCCTGTAATCTTAGCACTTTGGGAGGTTGAGGCAGGAGGATTGCTTGAACCCAGGAGTTGGAGTCCAGTCTAGTCAACATAGTGAGAATTCATCTCTACAAAAAATAAAAAAATTACCCAGGTGCATTGGCACGTGCCTGTAGTCCCAGCTACTCGGGAGGCTGAGGTAGAAGGATTGCTTGAGCCCAGGAGGTTGAGGCTGGTAAACCGTGATCATGCCACCGCAGTCCTCCTGCCTGAGCGACACAGTGAGACCTTGACTCAAAAAAAAAAGAAAAAAAGTTGCAGCAGACAAGGTCCGATGGGTCATTCAGTTTCTGTTTGATGCCGTTGACTTCCTGCAGAAAGCGGTTGCTGCCATGTTTCTGACCCAAGCTGCAGGCTTCTCTGCAAATCTTTGTTGGTAATGGGAGTTGTGGAGGCCTCCTGTTTCCATGGCCCTTCTCTGTCCGCTGTCTCCTGCGTGCAGTCCTGTGAGGGGGCATATGTGGCCAAACCAGGGGCTGAGCTGACAGGTGGCTGTCCTGGAATGGGGGTGAGTGGGTCTTGTTTGAGCAGCTGCAGTGAGGAGAGTGGAGGCTGGCTAGGGACAAGGGTTCCTGGGAGGTGGCAGGTTGGAGTGTCAGGGTAGAGATCACAGAAGGGAGGCGGGGGGGTACGTCGGCTGATGGAAATGGCAGCCCCCCCAAGGACATAAGTGGGGCACAGCACAGGCTTCATTTCATAGAGTAGAAGGGGACCAGTGTGGTGGCTCACGCCTGTAATCCCATCACTTTGGGAGGCCAAGGTGAGAGGATCGCTTGAGCCCAGGAGTCAAGACCAGCCTAGGCAACATAGTGAGACATCATCTACGGAAAACTAACAAAAACTTTAGCCAGGTGTGGTGGTGTACACTTTAGTCAGTTCCAGCTACTCGGGAGGCTGAGGCAGAAAGGTTGCCCGAGCCCAGGAGGCTGAGGTTGTGGTAAGCCGTGTCGTGTGACTGCACTCCAGCCTGGGCAACAGAGTGAGACTCCCGTGACTCAAAAAAAGAGACAGAAGGAGTGGAAGGAGCCTCGGCAGAGGGTCGGAGTGTTGTGGTCGCCAGGGCCGCGGGGTGTGTGGGGACGGGGGCGGGTGGAGGGGCATGGGAGGCTCGCGCCTGCGGTGGGCCCGACCCTGGCCGCTGAGGGTGGAGGGGCTTGGGCGGTTCTGGCCCTGCAGAACGCATCCTGGGAGACAGCGTCCCGGTGGCTGGCTTTGCCACCTCCATTCGCTTCGTCCCCCCGTTCAGTGGCTGCAGAGCTCAGACCACACTCGCCTCGGTGTCCCCGCAGCTGGCGGCCGAGGACCCTGCCAGTTGGCTTCCTTTCTTCCTCTCGTGGTGTGGCGTGACATACTGCATGGTCCGCGGCCACCCGTGTGGCCGTTCTTCTGCTCACCACGTTGGCTTCTTGTCGAAACTGTGACCAGAGCTGTGCTGGGCCACTGGGTGTCTTCCATGGGTTTCTGTCAGGCCTAGTTCCAACCTGAGCCCATTTCACGAGCCTCAGGGTGTCCGCATGTACTGTGGCTGCCCAGGCCAGGCTGGGTGAGGGGAGTAGATTCTCCAGGGCTATACTGGCTCCGGGGGCTGCTCAGCCCTGAGACCTCCCGAAGGTGAGCCGGTGCTGAGCCCTCTGCGCGGTCTGTCCTGGATGAGACAGCCCCGCGGGGTGCAGTGAGGCCCACCGGTTGGCCTCCTGGGGTCTGTCTGCTGGGGACCCTGCTTCTCCCCTTTGGGACGTATTGAGGGGTGTGGGAGTGACTTCCTGTCTTGCCCGGCTTCCCAAGCTTGCTGACTCTGGCTGGAGAGGGTGTGTTTTGCTCTACATTTGGAGGGTAAAGAGTGTCGTCTACTCTCGAGGCCAGAGCTTGAGACCAGCATGGGCAACATAGCAACACCCCACCTCTACAAAAAATCGAGGATTAGCCGGGCATGGTGGCACGTGCCTGTAGTCCTAGCTAATGAGGAGGCTGAGGTGGGAGGATCGCTTGAGTCATCGCCGCTGTACCACAGCACTCCAGCCAGGCAATGGAATGAGACACTCTTGAAAAAGAGTGAGAGAGTAAATTCCAAGCACCTGCTAACTTTTGGAGGCAAGAGTCTCCAAAGCCAGTTTCCTCAGAAGGCACGTGTGGAGGCAGGGTGGAAGCTGGGCAGGCAGGAGTGTGCTTCTCAGGTTGTGACCTTCCAGAACTATGTGGGGCCAGGGGTGGCCGGGGAGGGAACCGGGGGGACCTTTCCCCAAGGCTAAGGGCCCCACTGGGGGTCTGTCTGTGGCGGCTTGTGGTGGGGCTCCAGGTGCGTTGCATGCCCTGCTCTTCCTCTGGGCTTTGCTAGTGCTCTGGTCGCTCAGGCTGCCCTGTGCTTGTCTCTTACAGACCTCGGAAGAGACATTTCAGCACCTGCAGAACATAGTGGACTTTGGCAAAAATGTCATGAAGGAGTTTTTGGGGGAGAATTACGTTCACTGTGGGGTAAGTGATTTTTATTCGTGTTGTCTGAGTTTGTGGGCGCGGTTTGTACTGACGGTGCTGCCTCCCCAGGACGCTTTTGGCAGTTTGTGCTTAAGGGCGGCCTGCACACAGGTGGAGCCTCTGGGTGCTCTTCCCACTGGCTGCCCTGGCAGCAGCAGAGCAGGCGCTGCGGTTCCCCTCTTCTAGCTGGCAAACACGAGGTTCCGCGGGACCGCGTGAGCCCCTGCTTGCCAGGATTCCGACTGTTCCACCGGCCTCCTGGAGACTCCTGCATCCAGCATCACCGAGTCGGGACAGCTCTGCTGTCTGCCCTGGGGTACCTTTGAAGCAAGTTAGGGAACACAGGGGGCTCCACGCGGCAGGAGGTGACTTACTGGGACTGACTTCGCCTTGCTCGCCATGTCCCTGGGAGGCCTCGGCTGCTCACCTGCATTTGAAAAGCTGTGGTTTAGGAGGCAAGCCGGGTGAGCCCCTTGGCGTGAGTGCCTGTGCTGGGCCTGTGGGACTCTGGGATGGCACCAGGGGTGCCCCCCGGCCTGCCTGTTGCCTGGGGCTGTCTTCCGGGCAGACCCGCGTCCTGAGGCCTGGCTTGACCCTTGGCCCCAGCCTTCTGAGGCTCAGCCAGCCCATCTCCTGCGCCACCGTCACGCTGGGGATGGTGGTGCCCCTTTGTGGAGTCCAGGGGTTCTCCTCCAGGGCCCATCCCTCGGAGGGTTCTGGGCCGATGGCCAGTGGCCAGTTTCCTCCTTGAGGACAGAACATTCTTGGAGGCGTGATCTGGGGTCGCCGTGGCCCTGGCTGGCCCGCTCATTCTGGAACGAGGGAGCAGCTATGGTCTTGTAGGTTTTAGGCCTGTCTCTGGGAGGAGGGACTCAGGCAGTGACAGCACTTGGGAGCCATGGCAGTAGGGCTGGACCTGGGGTCCCAGTGGCATCCTGGGGGGTGGGTAGTGGGAAATGTTCCCAGGGAGAGGACAGGATCTGGAGTGTCATGGCAGTAGGTGTTCTGGCACTGGTTTGGTTCCAGTTGTCCTCAGTGTGAAGTCACAGTAAGTGACCTCACAGTGAACAGGGCTCAGCCCACATGGTCGCCTTTTAGTGTTTCTCCTCCACACTGATGCCTGTCAGAGTGAAGTGAAGCTTACTTTCGCTGCAGGTGGACATGTCCCTGGGCTCTGATACGGTGGGAAAGTGGGCACAGAACATGCTGCGGGCAGACCTGTGCCCCACAGGGGCTGTGCTGGCAGGGCCACCTGAGGCCATGTGAGGGAGGAACAGATATGCCAGCCAGTTCTGTAGAGCACAGTGTTTCCATCCTGCTTGTCCCGCGGCGAGAAACAACCCGTCCCCATGCTGAGGCCACAAGACAGACGGCGACAGGCATGCCCGGCCCAGTGGGTGTGAGGCTGGACTGGCTTGGCCCTGCAGGAGCTCGAGAGGCTGGGAGTCCGAAGGAGGGGTGGGACGGCTCTTCTTGCGCCCCAGGCGTTGCTCAGTACTGGAGGCGCCTGGGCGTTCGGAAGCTCCGCCGGGTCCTCCGAGGCGGGTCACCGCCTGGTGCCGCCTGGGCTCCTCACTGGAGCCAGGCCAGATGTGTCGACTGGGCTGGGCACATGAGGGGACAGCCACAGGGGTAGCTCTTTGTTCCTTGGAGGGCAGTGCTGTGCCAGGAGGTGCTGCCTCATCTCAGCACCCAGGTCACAGCGAGTTCTGGGAAGTCTGGAATTCCTTGGGCGTTCCAGGTGGCAGCTAAGCCCACACTCAACGTCTGTGTCTTTCCTTGCAGGAAGTTGTTCAGTTGCCTTTAGAGTTTGTGAAACAGCTTTGTCTAAAGATACAATCCGAAAGACCAGGTAAGAGTGCTTTAACTTGGGATTGCTGTCTGTCGCCTGAGATATTCCATCTGGAAAGTGAAGGGGCCGCCCATGTCAGGCACATGTAGGTTTCAGCAGATCTGTGGCCAGAAATGTCATTGGGTAGAAATCCTAGGAGCTCATGGGTATAATTCTGTGCATTAGCACAGCTCGGAACATGTGACTAAGAATGGATGGATGAGACATTATAAAAACGGTATGAGGGAGGCGGGGAGACACGGAAGAGCCCTGGGGGCCTGGAAAAGCCATGGAAAACGGGAGACCGAGGAGCCTCAGGAGGGGGAGCCTGGCCAGGACGGTCTGCAGCCCTG